AAAAATGGATAGGAAAAACAGAAATTTGGGTACATGCTGATCAATTTGTGTCTCAATTAAGTAAGGGGATCAGCATACCGTGCCTCCCGAGGACTTCTGATCAGTATGCCCTTTCTTACCATTGTGCTGAATGTAACAAAGAAGGATGAAGTGAATAAGAGATACGGGAAAGAGATAAAACATCACAAACCTGAAACATAAAAACAGCAAAGACCGAATTAGGCCTAGATGAATCCTCAGGTTGCAAGTGGGAAGGAACAGCAAACTCTGGAGGCAGGAAAACATGATAAAAAATCCTCATCATTTTGAAAATGTCAGGGGACAAAGGTTGACACATGTAGCCTTCAATCTCCTGACATATGAAAGCAGAAAGATCTACCATCGGGTCACCCGCATCTGAGGCCTGAGAAATAACACTGGTCGGTGGTGTAACTCCCGAAGTGGTTACATGAACTTCAGAATTCATAACTGAAAATAATGTACACAAATGGTCGGGTGTTGCAAAAATATGTAGCAACAAAATGAACTGGTTGTTAGAAAAGAAATTAAAAATTAATCTAAAAAGAAAAAAATTGGACAAAAAAAAATGTCATCTTCACACGGGACCACGAAGCACAAAAAAACAACATTTGAACTCAAACACTGACAAACGAAAGTTAAAGGTTTTGTAGAGGAATAAAGAGGAAGTCACATACATCATGTGACCATGTCACGCTACTATTGGTTATGAGATGATTTGCATGAGAGACATGTTGGAATATGATAATTCCAACAAGGGGGAGCACAAGGCTTGTGTCATGCATGAAGAAAAGTTCACTCAAAGAGGGCATCACTGAACGAGAATACCTAATCTTGTGAGAAGTGGTAAGTACCATATCGGAACTAGTTACAAAATGTCACATCTATATACACCCTCCAAAAGTAATTAATGTTTATATGTTAACTACAGTACGCAAAATGTCAGATCTATAGACATCCTCCAAATGTAATCAATGTTTATGTGTTAAATACAGTATACAAAGTGTCAGATCTATAAATACACAACAAATATAATTAGTTTCTTTGATAACTAAAATCACAAAATATCAGACACATGTATCCTCCAAATGAAATTAGTGTTTTTGTGCTAAATACAGTACACAAAATGTTAGATCTATATAAACTGTTCAAATTCAAACAATGTTTTAACAACAGTAACAAAATGACAGATATTATATATATATATACACACACACTCTTCAAATACAAGTGTTGAGTACAAACTATTAAAAGGATTCTGGAGCTTTACCCCATTGTTATTGCCAGTCATGTTCTACCTGACAAACATCCATGTTAAAATTAGCTTTGTACTGTAGTTTCTATTGTAAAAGGCTCCACTATAAAGGTGTCATGTTCAAGACCCACAACTCCTCCCAAAATGATTTACATAATCTATATAGTGTACAAACAGGATGGTTTCCATACTCTTTGTGTTTGGCAACTTCACCTGTATTTCTTCATATAGTTTAGTGTGAATATCCATTTCATTCTTCAGCTGCTTAAGGTATACAATGGTTGAATAGGATGTATGAATGGAAGCCTTATCTTGGCAAACCCATACCCTATTATTGTTGATTCCGAATGGAGATCTTTCTTAATTATTTACATGCTGTTGCTTAAGGCATGTTGATGGCTTTCACCACTTTGTGTCATGGTTTCTAACCTATTAAAAGACACTGCATTTTTCTTAGCATGGCTGAGATACAACTTGTTGCAGGTCTCTTTCTGGATGGTCCTGGTATCACAAGTTGATCCACATTTCATTCTTTTCTAATATAACTAACTACAAGTGATATCTCATCTTGGAAATTCTAAAACCACAATCTTTTTGATTTGATGTACAAATATTGTGTTTGTCAAAGAACTGTTCTATACTTATCCCAAAACAGCATTACACTACCCACCATACACCAAGCAATGCACATCCCATTACACCTCAACTTTATACTGGCTGTGGTTGTCACCTAAGTTGCTGATTTGTACATTCAAAAGTATTTTAATATAATGTACTCAACCCTTTGTATATTTAATGTTTCTGTTCTAACAACAGTACACAAAAGATCTATATCTTAAAATGAAATCAACTTTTTAAATTAAAGTGAAAAAAACATACATCTACCAATTGTTTAAAGTTAGATTTGTTGAATAAATTAACTAACATAAAAATCTTTATATAGTTTATAGCCTAAAGCATATTGTTTATATTAACTCTCTCTACACTGGCTTGGTCGATTAGACCAATCACATGACCACATTGTACTCGTTTAAAGTCATTATAGTTTCGATAATACTAACTTTTAATATAGTATTTTCACAAAATTTGGCAGACTTTCAGTAAACATTACAAGTCTTTTACATACAAAAAAATCAGCTATATTACTGAAGTATTTTTAATAAAGTAAAACAGATTTGTCCATGAATATATAGAGTTTTTTTTTTTTACTACTCCAAGAGCAAAGTGATTTTCATGTTAAGATTAAAAATACAATTCTTCATCTCAAAAGTTTCAAATTTCATTTGCATAATCTCTAAAACCTCCTTAATACATCTCAAACGTTTGTTTTCAGTAAAACTTTATATTCTATCTATTATCTACTCTACCCTAACTCTATACAAGGCTGATCAATTTGACCGACCCTGTAACCAACAAAAAAAAAATCCAATAAATCTAAATTACCCATTTTTTCTTTCTAGAATGACTTCAAATTGTACATTTATTTATACTTAAATTTTATTGTTTTATTGCCCTTTGAACCATGTCTAACTGCTATTTGTGCCATTGTAAGTTGTAAATCACTTGGGGAACATTATCCACAAGCTACTCTAAGCTGCTAGTGTGTGTGTGTGTGCCTCATGACAAGTTTTATTATTATTTATTTTACCTAATCTAACTTTAACTAATCTAAAGAGATTCCTATTTTTACATTTTAGTTACTTTTATAAAAATAAATAAGGAATACAAAGGAAAAACAAGAAATAAAATACTTACCCAGGTCTTCTTAATTTTGCTGCCAACTGTTGATGACACTTAACCCTCCTTTTTTATACTAATGGCAGTAGTGCACTAAATAATTTTTATTTAATTAAATAATACACCAAGAACATAGAATAATAACATGCAAAAATCAGACAATGTCCTATAACTATCACAACGTTTTGGACTTATGCAAATTCATCCAAGCTAGTCAACATCTTTCCCATAGGAACAAAGCTTGTACTAAGAGGAAAATTGACAATTCTCTGTTCAAAAAACAATGTAACACAACATGTCATTTGATAGATGAAAACCTCAGCTTTTTATTGGTTATAGGCAATATATAAATAAAAGTAAGAAACAACTATTAACAAATCCTCAAAGAGAGGATGTGACAGGTGGGTATAGCAGGAGGGGTCTGATTTTCCATTTGATAGCTCTGTAACCAAACAAAATTTAAGGCTATAAAAATTATGGTTTGTCTGAGCAATCACAATTTTATAGTGGGTAATTTACATTTAATATCACAGTTATTGAAGGGGTGTTGGATAAAATAGAGAAGATACATAGAGAAAAAATGTCACATTTCTCACACTAGGGTAAATTCAGGATTTTTTAATATTGCCTTATAAAATTAAAAACTTAAAGCTTATATACTATTAAAATATGGATTATTAATTACAAGTTTATGATATATTAATTGTTATAACATAAACAAAAAGTAGTTTGGATAAACTTTGATTGTAAGTCACTAAAAACCTCACGACAGGCGCAGTATAGCATGCCCTTGGCGATAGGGTTAAACAGTCAAACATTACAAATCTACTGATCTAAAATGAGATTTATTGAATAATTTGACCAATATAAAAAATCTTTACATAGTCTATAACCTAAACCATTAATTTTCATATTGAATAATCAAACAACAAAATCCACCTACTATTTAAAGTTTGAATAATTTGATTATTATAAAACGTCTCAAGTGTTACTTGCAGAGTCTTAGTTCACAAATGGCTTTAAACAAGTCCATTAGCCTAAGATATAAAAAAAAAATCACTAACATTGTTTATACCTAACAAAATCTTGGTGTACTTCAATTGGCTTTAAAAGATGATGATAAATAACAGGTTACTTACAGTATGTTATATATTTGCTGCCTCCAAAGAATGTGTTTTGTTTTTTAATGTCAAGCACCAGACATTGCTGGTTGAGCTGGACACATTGTATCAATCAGGAATATTTATAAAGAACTCGAAAGTTTACACAATTTGTTTTGTTTTAGACATTTGCAGAAGTAGAAAATGATTGTTTTTGGAAGACAATAACAGTTTTTCATACGTAATTGTTCAGAACAAACGAGTTCCTTATTTACTCTATCCCCACTAAACACCCCTCCCCCCCCAAAAAAAAATCCCCAACACTTCTTTTGAAGGGAACACAACCTACCTCAAATTCCTGGATCTTACAATGTCCTAAATACATGAAATATGTACAAATCTGGAATTTGTTGTAAAATAAGATCAATGAAAAGATATTTTTTCAAACTGCTGATCAAAACACTTACATGTTTTAACTGGGTTCTGTTCTATCAATGTATAATACCCATTGAAGTTTAAGTTTCAAACAATGTCTGTCATTTGGTGTACAAAACTTTCTTCATTTAGAGTTTACTAATCTCTGTTCTTTTCTATGTACAGTTGGAAGGTTGTAATAAAAGCTTATGTTTTTGTTTTTGGAATTGCTTTGTCCTTCAAGTTTAACTATTATGAATAGAGTCTTTAGATAACATTTGTTTCCAATTTTAATAAATTTCTGCTTCAATATACAATTTTTTAGGTGGATGAAGGCCTTACTATGTTCCTTAGCTGTTCTTCTAATTACAACATATAAGTGGTAATTTAAGGCCTTACTATGTTACTTAGCTGTTTTTATAATTACAACATATAAGTGGTAATTTTGAAACATAACATTTGCTGTTGAGTTTTACCTCATTGTTTTTACTTCTAGCAGCTCCTTCTATGAATTCAAAAAGCAAGGCCCAGGCTCGTGGAAAATCTCCCAGTTTCTGTAGAGCATTTCGCTTTGAGTGAAAGACCCTGGCTACTCCAGATAGTGTTAGCACCTAATAAAAAACAACAACATCCATGTTTGAAATAAAAACTAATGGCTACCCTGAATAGTATAAGCACCTAACAAAAGAAACTATTAAAATAATTATAACAAAAAAGCAAGGGCAAAATTTTCCTTTTTGATAAGACATTAGGTTTGGATTGAAACACTCTGGTTACTTCTGAAAATTATGAAAACAATCAAGAACAGCATTTAATAATAATAAACAAAGCTCAAAACTCTGGAAATTTCCTGGTTCTTTTAATTATAAACCTTGGATAACAAATACAGTGACAACAGTTAATAAAAATAATAATACAAATAAATATAAATTTTCAACAAAAAAGTAGAAACACATCTCACTTCCTGTAAAGCAGTTTGCTTTCAGTGAAATGCAGCAGACATTTGTGTGGAACCTAACAGAAGATCCAGTGGAATGAATTCATAAAGTTGTGTTACTTTTGTAACGGGATGATACCCACATGTACCATATATCTGGTTTATCATTTCTGACTCACTATTTGAAAAAAATTCAATATTATGTAAAACAAACCTCAATGTAACAATTTACTATCTAATGGCCCTGAGGTGTTTTTATTCTAGCTACAAATTGAGATTAAACTAGTACTAAAAGTTTTGAAGTTATCTTTATGTTTGCCCTTTTCAAGCAATCATTTTACCATTACACCTACCAAGGTTTCAGTAAGTGTTTCTACTAGATAAAAATAATTATTTCTGCATGTGATAATTATAATACTTCACACCCACATATACCCAAACACATAAAAAATATTCCAACAAACCTGCGTTTCAGCCCACTGTTTCTGTGCCGTATTCCTGGAGTGATGAATTAATATATTTCCTCCCATATCACTAATTTTGTCAGAAGAAGCAGAACCTGACAGATTTCTAACTCGGTCCAACAAAGGGAACAAAACCTAAAATACATCCGTATCTATTATAAATAGCTACAAAATTAGAAACATTTTCAAATATTACCAGTTGGAAGAAGTATAAGTAACTACTTTTTTATCTACTTAAATACAGTTTAAGAAATATTAGAGTAATAAGAGTTCTTAGACACTTATTACATCAAATAACAATTATCTTCAGAAACTATTACTTCTGCTAAAAAAACAGAACCATATAGATTTCTCATCTTATTTAAGCAATTGACAAAAGATTTTAGAAACAAACTGATTTTGAAAAAGTTAGCCTCAAACACTGGTACTTCTGTTGAAGGAAAATGACCCAACTAGATTTCTCTTTCAGTTCAGCTTATAAAACCTAAAACTTTGTAAAAATGAGTTAATTAAAAAAAGTTTTTTAAACCAAATTGTTTTCCACATTACTGTTAGTGTCACATTAAATCTTTCTTCTGAAACTTCCATTCTAACATCCATTTATTATACAAGCTATATTCATCTGTGTATGAGATTTTCTTTCCAACCAATGACTTTTATATTGAGTAAACTATCGATTCTCTCTCTCTCACAGTCCTGGGATCAGACACCTTATAAACAGCACCAGCTGCTAATTCTTGATCTATGCTAATCAAAATATGGGATATTATTATCAAACTTATAATAAACCTTAAAGTAAAGAGCACAATGTTCCTGCTACAGGTCATGACTCTTATTTAACAGGCTGGTATGCTAGCAACTATGCCACTCCAGCTCACTTACAAACTGATATCATAGAGGGGAAGGACACACAGACTTCGATCAAAACAAGTCTTCTGGTATTACCCAACTGATGGTGTCAGTGACAAAATTAATGCAATCTAACACCATGTTTTAAAAACAGTGCATCAGTACTGATGCACACCATTTGAAGGTTTGTTTTATACAATTTCAGTAAGTAGTGAATTCAGCAAGGCAAATAACAATAAATGTATAGTTCACTGTTGACACTACTTAAACTGGGCAGTAAGTTATCTCTTGATTAACTTACATTGCTATTTACCAATTAACTTGATATAAACTATTGCTCATGATCATTACAATAATTAACCAAATTACAAATAAATCAATGAAATTGTAGTTGTCAATCAATACAAACACATAATGCTGTGGACATTAATGGTGCTGAGAAACAATTTTTTGTTTTGTGACACAGAAATTCTTAACAATAATGCTGAATTACTTGGACAGTGGTACAATGAAGCAAAACACAAGCTTATGTGTTGCAAAGAAGGGTGCCAGAATTTAAAAAAATAGAAATAAAGTTTCTGCAAATATTTCACTTGTTTCTGACAGTAGGTCAATCCATTTTAGTATACATTTTTACTACAATCCCATTTCTTGATTAGCTTCTAGCAATAATTACAGGTGAGATTCAGTTGAGAACAAACACTGGCTGTATCTATCTTCTGTTATTCTTACAGGTGTTCACTACAATCCCATTTCTTGAAGA